TAATTGTAGGGACATTGAGATCGATGAAGTCATGGAGGCAATGCGTAAGATGAGAAAGGGCAGAGCTACCGGGCCAGACGAAATTCCGATTGAACTTTGGAGGTGTGTGGGTAGAGCAAGCTTGGAATGGCTTATTGGATTGTTTAGTGTTATATTCAAGACTAATAGGATGTCTGAAGAGTGGAGGTGGAGTACAATGGTTCTGTTGTATAAGAACAAAGATGATGTCCAGAGCTGTAACAACTATAGGGGCATCAAATTACTAAGTCATACCATGAAAGTTTGGGAGAGAGTGGTAGAAATGAGAGTGCGAAGGACGGTGTCTATTTCAGACAACCAGTTCGGGTTCATGCCGGGGCGATCTACCACAGAAGCTATCCACCTTATTAGGAGGATGGTGGAACAGTACAGGGATAGGAAGAAGGATCTCCACATGGTGTTTATTGATCTGGAGAAAGCGTACGATAGGGTTCCTAGGGAGGTCTTATGGAGCTGCTTAGAGGATAAAGGGGTCCCGAGTAACTATATTAGGGTGATTAAAGACATGTATGATGGAGCTAAGACTCGGGTTAGGACAGTAGGAGGCGACTCTGAACACTTTCCAGTTATTACGGGGTTGCACCAAGGGTCTGCGCTCAGCCCATTCCTATTTGCCCTGGTGATGGATGCACTGACTCATCATATTCAAGGGGAGGTGCCATGGTGCATGCTATTTGCTGATGACATTATTCTAATTGACGAGACACGAGGCGGCGTCAACGAGAGGCTAGAGATTTGGAGACATGCTCTTGAGTCTAAAGGTTTCAAGTTGAGCAGGACGAAGACGGAATACCTCGAGTGCAAATTTGGAGTTGAGCCGACGGAAGCGGGAGTTGAAGTGAGGCTTGACTCTCAAGTCATTCCCAAGAGAGGTAGTTTCAAGTACCTTGGATCGGTTATTCAGGGGATCGGGGAGATTGACGAGGATGTCACACACCGTATAGGGGTGGGGTGGATGAAGTGGAGGTTAGCGTCGGGAGTCTTGTGTGACAAGAAAGTGCCACCGTTACTAAAAGGTAAGTTTTATAGAGCAGTGGTTAGGCCTGCCATGTTGTATGGAACTGAATGTTGGCCGGTAAAGAACTCACACATCCAGAAGATGAAAGTAGCAGAGATGAGGATGTTGAGGTGGATGTGCGGGCATACAAGGATGGATAAGATTAGGAATGAAGATATTCGAGAGAAGGTGGGTGTGGCCCCCATGGAGGACAAGATGCGGGAAGTAAGACTCAGATGGTTCGGGCACATTCAGAGGAGGAGCACTGATGCACCGGTGAGGAGGTGTGAGCGACTGGCTGTAGTGGGCACGCGGAGAGGTAGAGGGCGACCTAAGAAGTATTGGGGAGAGGTGATCAGACAGGACATGGCGCGACTTAGGATTACTGAGGACATGGCCCTTGACAGGGAATTATGGAGGTCGAGCATTAAAGTTGTAGGTTAAGGGAAAGTTGTGAATATTTCTACAGCACAATAGAGTGAGACTAGTCAGTTAGGAGTTAGACTAANGGGACAGCTTGCGAGCACCTCGACTAATTTCACGGGATACCTGCCACCTCCATCAGCAACAGGTACCAGGTAACTCTCCGCCAAGACTTGAAAAAATGGAAAGAAATCACCTAGTGTTTTTGCTTCAGCTGGAATTTAAACCTGAAACCCATGGTTCTCACCCACTTCACTGATCACCAGGCCACACCCTTGGGTACTAGTAAAAAAATGAGTATTAGAAGTTCTCTATATCTCTCACTGGCATAAAAATCTCTAACAGGGACAAAAGACTCCTAAAGTATAGGACCTAAAGTAAATATGTTAACATGCCTATATTCTCAACTAATTGGCATCGCCTACACAAGTCTTTCTCTTCCATTGTGCCTTCACTAAGTCTGCATTATTTCTAAGAGACCATAAATCTTTCGAGACAACTTCCTCCCATGTGAGTTTAGGTCTGCCTCGTCCTTTTAAACATATTCACTCACCCACCTATGGATAGGTGCATCTGGAGATATGCACAAAACATTAACCAAATCATCTCAAGCGACCTTCTCTCATTTTATCCTCGATGTGTGTCACTTGCACCCTTTTAACAAATGGATCATTTTTAATCTTGTCGATTCTTGTTTGACCGCACATCCATCTTAGCATTCGCATCTCTGAGACACTCATCTTGTGGATGTGTTGGACTTTTAGCAGCCCAACATTCAGTGTCACATGGCATTGTTGGTCTTAAATTGTTCTATAGAACTTACCTTTCAGCTTGAGAAGCATCCTGCTATCGTATAACACCCGGTCTTATTTCCCTGCTTCAACCATCCCATTTTGATTCTAGGTGATCATTCCATAGTCCTACAACAACGAGCCTAGATATTTTGAATTGTTTGGATTTAGGCAGCACAATCCCGTCTAATCTCACCTCAACTTCAACTTCTTATGTTAACTGAACTTGCAATGTATATATTTCATCTTACTTCTACTTACCCTAAAAACCTTTACTCTAAAGAGCTCCATAGTCAACGCTTTTGATTAACACCCTCATTGGTTTTATCAATTAGTACAATGCCATCTGCAAATAGCATACATCATGGGAATTCATATTATAATGTGTTGATTAGCTCATCCATAACTAGGGTAAACAATTATGGGCACATAATAGCCTCTTCTTCTTTTTTTTCTTTTTTTGGCGGGGGGGTGATTTGATGCGTTTAGGATTAGAAATTTCTAATAAAATATTATTCTCTCCATCTCAATTTATGTGGCACTCTATCCTTAATAGTCAGTTCCAAAAAGAACGTCGTACTTCCTTATTTAGAAACAATTTAACTTTAAGTGTCCTATTATACCATTAGTGAGATTATTCATAGTCATACAAATATATATGGCTTGTTTTAACACCACAAGTTTCAAAGTTTTCCTTTCTTTATTAAGCTTCGCGAGTCCGCGTCGAGTCAAACATCGCCACAAATTGGGATGGAGGAAATATTTATTATCATTGACCATATGAATCCCTAATTATATTTATGGAGTTTTCAAACACAACCACTATGATGTCGCTTTCCCTCTTCACTTCTTTTATAAAGAATTTGTATGCCCAAAGTAGACCTTAATCTTACATCAGTTAATAGTATTTAAACAATTGAATCAAAATAGATTTATTTAAATTGGCCCTTAAAATTTTATACAAAAAGAAGAATGTATTTTCTTGGTCATTTGGGAAGAATATTTTTAAGTATTAGTGACTGTTTTCGAGGAAGATATACTATTCCCTCAGTTTCATTTTATTATGTCTTAGTTTGACTAGGCACAAAATTCAAAAATGTAAAGCGAACTTTTTAATCTTGTGGCCCTAAACTAAATGTGTATATAGCATATCAAAAGTACCCTCTCAACCTTGTGGTCTTAACCATGCCATGTAATTCTTATGATGGAATCTCCTCAAGGTAAAAAAAAATGTTGTAATGAAAAATTAACTAAATAGAAAGGTGTCATTCTTTTTTAAAAGAAATTATAAAGGAAGACATATAAAGTGAAACAAAGAAATAATTTGCAAGAATATGATTAGGCTTTCAGCGCCTTTTTTTTGTTCTATCTTATTTCGAGTGAATGTCAAGTGAAAGCAAGCCAGAGTTACCTATAGAGAATAAATTTACAGGCCTGCTGGAGGATTTGAAGCTCTTGTAAGAATAAAGATACTGGTATATTATTAAGGAAATAGAATCCACTGTTTCTACAAATTAGAGCATATTGTTGCTTTGTTTACAATTGAACTATTCTTTGTTTTAAGGAGTTGCTCATCAATTTTAGACTGCAAGTACTATAAGTTTATTCAAGTACATACCTTATCAAAAAAAAGTTTATTCAAGTACATTGGAGGTTAGGCTTTCATTCTTCTAGATATGGTTGACTGCCATGAAATGAGATTCTTTAGTATGAGCTTATATGGGGTCAACTAGGAGTGGCAAACGGGCGGGGCGGGGCGGATATGGTTCGGGTTGAAAACGGGTAATGAAGAAACGGGTAAATTATCCGACCCGACCCATATTTAATACGGATAAAAAACGGGTTAACCGACAGATAATATGGATAACCATATTATCCATGACTTCTTACATATGATCACTTTTGGGAGAATTCTTAGTCTCCCTAACTTGAGGAACCCCCAATTGAGGCTTTACAAATGTAAAAGTTAGACCCATTGGTTATCCATTTTCTAAATGGATAATATGGTTCTTATCCATATTTGACCCGTTTTTAAATAGTTCATTATCCAACCCATTTTTTAATGGATAATATGGGTGGTTAACTGTTTTCTTTGAACCATTTTGCCACCCCTAGGGTCAACCATTTCTCAACACTAGGTAATCAGATGATCACTCAGGGTCTCTATATCACTTTTTTCTATTTGGTGATCAGTATACAAAAAAATTCTTATTGGAGCAGCAGGTGATTAAAGGATGTTGATGCATAGAAGAATTTTGCCTACCAATTGAAGCAAAACAAGCATGGTATCTTTAGCTCCTTGAACGATATAATTTCCGTTCCTTGAGAGAAGATATAAAGAGGAGCAAGAACAAAGGCGGTGCCAAGATGTTAAGCTTACGGGCTCGGGATTCTAGTCTTTAAAGTTCCTTATTCAATGGATTAATAATATTTGTTACATATTCAATGGATTTTTTAAGACAGATACAGGGTTTGGACCAAAGCTACTAGTTCGGCCGAACCTATAATCCAAACCCCAAGCAAGATTCCTCAAAACATTCATATCAACTATGTATAACTATTTTCATTTTGTCCGGAAAGAGATTTAGATGAGAGAGAGAAAGAGAGATTAAAGAAGATTGGCACAAAAAAAAAACTTATAGGACAAGACAACAGAAAATACCATGACTTATCAGATTTCTTTCTTTTTTTGATAGATAACATCAAGATTTAACGAATATATAACTAGTGGAAAGCTCGAGATGTCTTACCACATAGATAGTAGAAGCTTAGCTCGCTATCAAACCCCCAAGTCATACGCAACCAAGACTTATGGTGGGTGTCAATCAAGTAAACCAAATATCCCAGTGAGGCTATAACCTGCAACAAAGAGGGTGAGCGCTCAATTGGATATATTCTGCAAAAATTAGGTAAAGAAATATCTAAGAAAATCAAAGAACAACACTGTAAATAGGGCCAACCACCTACAAGCTGAACCGCGAGAAAGATGAACAAAATGTCTCTAGTCACAAAGAATCGGAACTTTAAAGTTCGCCACTTTCTATCAGCAGGAACATGAACTCTCAAGTAATAGGGAGCTTTGCAAGTTGTGCAATGGGAAAATGCAAATCCTTCCTGTAAAAGATAAATAATTTAATCCTTCCTGTAAAAGATAAAATGATTTAACTAACAAAAATAAATTCAATTCTGGTGATTATTGATTACTGTAAATTGCTTGGAACTTATCAGGCAACTTATGCAGTCATTGCTTCTATGAAAGCAAAGCCTCAACTTGATAATTTTGAATCTTACTGTTGAAATGAAAAGACAACAACTACATCCCAATCCAAAACAATCTGGGATTGGTTATATGAATCATCACTGACCATATTTTTTCATTTAAAATTCATCTCCGACAAGCATTACACAAAATAAAAAGTACCAAAAATCTCTATATTTTTTACTGGCGTAAAAATCTCTACTAGGACTAAAGACTCTTAAGAAGCATAGTACCTTTCAACTAAAATGACTAAAATGTATAACCATCCAATTGGTATCGCCTAAATAAATCTTTTTCTTCTAATGTGCCTCATCATTCGCTAAGTCTGCATGGACTCGAAATGATTGTAGATCTTTCGAGATAACTTCCTTCCAAATAATATTAGGTGTACCCCATCCCCTTTTTAATACCTTCACTCATCATGGTATCACACCTACAGACGGTGCATGTTGAAATGAAAAGCACATACAAATAATTGACTATTGTAAGTAAAGTGGCTCGTCCAAAAGCTATACCACCACAATATATGTACACATGATGCTGATCAAAACCTGATCATAAGCTTTAATGCATCAATACAGGTACAAATTAGTTCCAAGTAAGGCATGACTTGATGAATTGCATTTCAAAAACAAAAGCAACAATGCGACTTCGACAATAATAAGGTTAAAACTGCTTAAGTAATACAGATTCAAAAGCTAAAACACATACTTTCACCGCCCGCCAATGATCAAGGCAGTCCCGATGAACAAATTTTGATGTACCCTTGCACTTGCAAGGTGCAATAAAATCCCTACCTGAAAAGGAAAAATAAAACCTAGTGGGTATCCCAATTCTGAAATAGCATAAGTTCAGCATATAACCCAATAATGTGATATGCTATCGAATGAAATAAACAAAAGACGACCTGGATAACAAGCATTCACCAAACGACCAAAAATTCAAGCCACCTCTTCATTAAATGCTTCTTATTATTTTCATTTCTTTGATAAATCCGAACAGATAAAAATGTTGATAAGTACAACAACAATAACAATAACAACATACCCAGTATTATCCCACGGTATTATCCCACACCGTGGGATCTGGGGAGGGTAGTGTGTACGCAGACCTTACCCCTATCTTGTGAGGATAGAGAAGTTGTTTTCAATAGACCCTCGGCTCAGGAAAGCATAAGCACCACATTAATGAAAATATAGACAAGAAGGGACAATAATGAAAATATAGACAAGAAGGAACAAAACCAAAAAGCCATATAAAAGCAGAATAAAAAAACAAGATAGTAAGGTGATCAACAATGAAAGAAAACAACGGTTAGTCATAAAAACCTACTACCAACAGAAAGCGNATGAAAATATAGACAAGAAGGAACAAAACCAAAAAGCCATATAAAAGCAGAATAAAAAAACAAGATAGTAAGGTGATCAACAATGAAAGAAAACAACGGTTAGTCATAAAAACCTA